TATAGTTGTGTTTTAAATCACAGATTAAAGGTTTTGCTTGCAGCAGATGTATCTTTACAGTCAGGAGTGTAGTTACGTCCAATTCATGGAAGAGGAGGGGGAAAATACATCTGGATATATTGAAGCTGTCTTTTGCATCCTTAATACTAATTTTTCCAATCTTTTAATTTTATCCAGTTTCTTAACTATTCCTTTGGATTTTCTTCATAAATACTTATGCATGTGTTTAATGTTAAGCTTGTGAATTGAGAAATCCATGAAGTCAGTGCAGCTCACTGTGTGCTTTAAGAAGCATTTTTTGTCATAAGACATAGTACCTTGTATGTTTCTTGTGTGATTGAGGAATTCAATAAAAATTGAGAGAAAATATGTACTGTGACCAATCTTGAAAAATATAAAGACATCAGATTATCTACAGATTCAAATCTGCATAGAGATGTGCATTAATTAACTAGTTGTAAGTAAGTATTTCCAGAGACTGTTCAATAAATTTACCATTTCACTACCTTGGAAATTTTGGCAAATTTGATACAGCCTTTCTTCAGTCTTAGTGGATAGGAAAAGTAAGCAAACCAAAGCCAGAATTACTGGTTCTTTTCCCTTCTCACTGAGTGTAAAAGAATTTTAATAGTTCCTGGCACTGTTAGAGATTGGGATTTTTTTAGAGATTAGAATGTTGGATCATTTACATTTGGGAAATTTTTTCAAATCTAATATACACAAAAATAAGATTTTAGGTTTTTTTGATGATTATTTTCATACCATTACTTCAGCATAAGCCCTTTTAGGTTTCCATCCTGCTTTCCTTTGTTCAGTATTACTTTTGAATTTAATCAATGTACAGCATTTAATCAGTATTAAACCTCTTTAAAGAGATTAAGAGTAAAGGTGATGTAGCACTATTTTTCAAGTAAAACTTCAAGAGGCAAACTGGCATCTGAAAAAGTTGCATTTATTTTTTCAGTGAATAAGGTTATATGTTCCGTGGTAGCCCAAAGCTCTTTTTGAAGTATTTTGGTTTTAGTGTTGCTTCATTTTACTCATAGTGACTGATAATTTTAGAGTAGCCTTTCATAAGCACCTTTGTATATGAGGATGTTGCCAGTGGGAGAAATTTTCATGAAGATTTTACTTAATATTTTTGTCATGTAGGGAGAATGTGATTTCATTGAAACATCAACAGATGTCTTGTCTTCAGGTTTAAAATATGCCTTATAGAAACAGGACTGACTTTCTGTGTCCAAATTTACAGGACTGATTTTCTGTGTCCAGTCACTTTATTTTTAATATATTTCTAAACTATATTGTAAATTCTGCATTGTAGTGACACACCCCCTACAATTTCATGTATGATAAACGTATTTTTGAGTAACCATCAATGATTTTAAATTATAGACCATTGCCTAAACCCAAAGACTTTCATCATAGACATGTCAGCAAGCAGCAGGTGTCCAGCTTATTGGTTTAGTATACAGCATAATGCACTTCTAGAGAAAATTCTCTAGTTGTCCTAAAGGCTATACTTGTTTCAGTTCATAGAGTGTTTGGTCTTGACCACATAATGCTCCTTCTCTCATTTGCTTATGTGGACAGCCTTGATTGTTTTTCAAGATTCTGCAAGTAGGATATAATTGCTTTGTGCTCTTAAACTATTAAATTTATTGGCTAACACACATGAGGTAGCTGGGGATATTGCAGTATTCATCACCCCTGTGGAATGAGCAATGCGTCTTTGCTGGTCTGGCAGCCAACAGGCCTGGGAGAAAGGTTCAGCCTCCACTGCTCCACAGAAGGCAAGGGAATTGTCTTATATGCTGCCAAGTTATAATCCTCCATTTACCCAGTTTTCTTCCTTGAGGTTTTATACCTATTCATATCACTGCTTTTCCTTTTTAAGCCTTGAGCTGTTAAATAGTGTTATTTCAAGAATTTTAGCTGTGTCTAGAATTTAGTCTTTCCTTTTCTGCATGAATACTAGTCTATGTATTTTCCTTTAACTTTTGTTACAATGCAGCAGTTTTCTCAGAAGACTTAGACAATACTGCTCAACTGTGCTGTTGTGTCATTATGCAGTGTATCACAAATAGATGAACATCCAGGAAAATGGTAATACCTACCTACATGCCCACAAATCTTCATCATGCACTCTTCCATCAGGATCTCAGATTTCACACAAACATTTTCTGGTTCAGTATGATTTGCTTTCTTGCCCTACATTTTTCTGTTGCCACCTCTTACAGAATTTTTTTTCCAAATTGATTTCTTACATTCCACATTTCTTTATTTACTGTGCTTTTTCCTATAATGCTGTTTCCAGCAGATCTTCCCAAAAGCAACAGCTTTGACAGCAGAGCCAACAGCACAGGGCCTCAGGAAAGCAGCACTGCTGCTGCCCACAGGTGCTGTCCTTATCACATCTGTGGCCCACAGATCAGCTGACTGGTACTTGTTGGAGAGCAAACAAACACATCTGCCTTGCTGCAGGGCTTGGAGCCTGAATCCAACTGTGACCCCTGCACAGACAGAGTAATATCTGAGGATTGGCTTGCTAGGGTTTTCCTCCTCGTAGAGGCTGAGGACACACTGTCCCTGTGTTTCACCTTGTTTGGTTGCTGTCCAGGTTCTACACTGATTCCAGTTTCAGGGACTGTTGCAGTACTTGTCAGCAAAGTCTGCTTCTGCCTATTGGGGCTTCTGGCAGTTGTTACTGGCAGCAGAAGTGCATCACATTGTGGCACTGGTGTGCCCTAGGATAGGCTGCTTAGAGGTCCACAAAACAGAAAGTTTTTTGTACTAATTTTCCTCGGTCAGCTTCTCTTCACTTGAGAGCACTTAGACTGGAGGACCAGTCTGATCTCATTTAAAATCCCTGAAATTTACAGTATAGATATAAGGAGCCTCATCATCAACTGCTTTGATTCATGATCTCTTTCTGTTCTGCCTCTTCACAGATGACTTTTGTGTCCTGGTTTTCAGCTGGGATAGGATTAATTTTCTTCTTAGTAGCTGGTACAGTGCTATGTTTTTGATTGAGTATGGGAATGATGTTGATAACACACTGATATTTTAGTTCTATCTAAATAGTACTTTCCCTAAATCAAAGACTTTTCACTGTCCCATGCTCTGCCTGCAAACAAGTGCACAAGAAGTTGGGAGCAAGCATGGCCAGGAAAGGTGACCCAAACTGGCCAAAAATATATTCCATGGCAAGAAATATTCCATCCCATAGAACATCATCCTTGGAATATAAACTGTGGAGAATTGTCTGGGAGCTGCCAGTTGCTGCTTAGGAATGGGCTAAGCATCAGTCAGCAGGGGATGAGGAATTGTATTGTGCATTCCTTGTTTCTCCTGGGTTTTATTGCACACTGTCTCCTTTCCATTACTATTAGTATATTATACTTCAAAAATTAAACTGTTCTTGTCTCAACCCATGAGTTTTTATGGTTTTTTTTAAAGTCTTTTCCCCATTCCTGGGGGCTAGTATGGGGTAGAAGAATGGGGTTGGAAAGGAGGGTTGAGCAAATGGCTGCATGGTAAATAGTTGCCACCTAAGGTTAAACCATGGCAGCTTGCTGATGCAAAGAATGCTTAAAATTTCTCCACTCACTTCTGAGTCAATCAGACACTGTGGACAAGGCATGCATCCTTTGAATTCATCCTTTTCTTCTTTGCCTCAATTGGAATTTCAAACTCACCCTCTTCCTTCTATTTCCAATTCAAAGATGCTTCCACTTTTTTAAAACAGTTCAATGGCCCTAACATAAGCACTGAATTAAAATTGTTCACATTTTTTACTATTGGTGTATGTTTTACTAACATCTCAAATAGTAGTTTAGTATTGAGATGCCCACACTCATGTTCATCTCCTCCACCAATGTATGTACCCAGAACAGATTAATTCTGATTGCTTTGTGTCAGTTTTGAACTGCTTTAATTCCCTTAAATTTCTGTACATAGATGTCTTTTCTATGCAAGCAAATAAAAATTATATGCATGATTTTAAATAAAAAGTAGGATGACAAGTAGGGTAATGACCTCCAATGTAACTTGTAACATGATTTTTAAAATAAATAGAGAAATATTTCCTAAGTATTTACTAATGAACTGTAATTTTTATCTGCCAAAAGAGTGATGAACAATTTATTTTTTAAAAAGTGCTATTTTGTAACAAAGGCACATTTGCAGTAGCAACAGCTAAATTGCAGAAATCAAGAATATTCTATTCAGTCCTTTAGTTTTTACTTCTATTTTCTTTACTCATAGTACTCTCTTCATTAACATTGATGGCATTCTTCTAAGCCTCAAGGTGTGACCTTAAAGGTCATGTATAAGACTAATAGGCTTTCTTTAATACTATCAGTCTTTTAAGGATAAGAACCTTAATTTTAATTAATTTATGCATTTCATGAGATAAACATCCTCAAATTCCAACCAAAAAAAAGTTAAAATTTTGAAAGTTAGTGAATAGACCTCAAAACAATGTCATTGTTTGTATCTATGGAGAGTTGATTGAAATTTTATGACATTATCCCCATTAATTCTGTAAGGCAGGAAATATGCAAATTGTGGATCAAAATAATGTTATTCTTTAGGACAAAACTAACTCAAACTTCAAGTTAGAATTGTATTAAATTCTAGTCACAACCTCTTTAATTACAGCAGTCCCTGTGTCCCTTTTGTGGAAGAATAATGAAAAGTGTGAATCACATTTTCCACATAATTTATTGAAATCCTTCATTAGTGAGAATTGACATTTGTATTCCATACAAAACAAGTTTTTTATGCTTGGAAAGTAGCTCTCTTAATGTGTTTAAAATTGCTAGGAATCTATTACCTTTTTTGGATGAATACTGATTGCTGTGCCATTGGTATTTTCACAACCAAATCAGTTTCAAATGAGGATTACAAAGAGTGTTTTAAAACAATTGCTGGAAGAGAATATAGCATTTTTTCAGTACTACTATCAATTAAAATTTACTCCTTCTGTAATCCCACAGCTGAACAGACAGGAATGTTATTTATAGGAGATGCAATAATACAGGTCAGTAAACATTCACTTTTTTCCACAGACATTTGTTTCTTACTTGCTTTTATTTCACTAACTAACTTCGCATTACAAATCATTTTCTCCCTATTGTATCTGTTTTTAGGTTAATGGTATAAATGTAGAGAGTGCTACCCATGAAGAAGTGGTAAGTCATTCCACTTTGATTTTTTATTGGTGTACAAAATATCTTATGTCCAAACTGTTCTGTCTCTGGTCTTGTTTCAAATTAGTTTACTCTTTTTTACTATAAAGACAGTGCTATATATCAGGTTTATCATCTATTTGATTATTAAAACTTTTCCAGTTATTTAATTCCATTTTGAAATCAAATTTGCCATAATGCTTGGTCTAACCTGAAACAAAATAATTTATTGAGTAGTGGTCAGGTTTTACAGATTTGCTTCATTTATCAGACTGACCATATGAGGACAAAGCTAGTTCACATTCACTCGATGTGCAGTGCTTTTCCGGTCTGCAGTGCAAGGCCTTATAGATAAAAATTGTTACCCCTGTTGCCTGTTTATTGGCAGTATCTCAGAATAACATCTGTAGCAACCATAAATGACGTGGGCTTTGGCAGTCTTATCAGCAGGGCAGAAATTACATGGGCAAAGGAACTAAACTTGCTTTTATTACTTGAAGGTGATCTTTCTAGTTCAAGATAAAGTGCAGCTGCATGATCTTGCAGTCCTTTTCTTGGTGTTGATTAATACCATCAAGCTGACTCTCTTACAGACAGTCTCAGTAATAGTTAGATCTGTTGTGTATTGGTGAACTGCCCTCCTGCTGCTTGTGTTGTTATTGCACAGAAAAAAAAATTAAACTTCCAGAAAGCTACTCCTCAGAAAATGGTAAGCTACTTCCATTAAGAATTGTTTGTAAAAACCAAGAAGTGGTCCAGAACTGTCAGTATAACACAACAGAGATGAGGAATGAGAGAGAAATGCATAGTGCTGCTCCTTTCCCTGTACATGGGAATTCAGTAGAAGCATTAAGCATAATTGCTCCTACCACAGCCCTTTACTATGATGAGAATAGGGTTAGAAGAATGTGTCAGGCAGTAGAGATAAGAAATGGTTCTATCAGATGAGGTGTGCTGTTGACAAAACTCCTCAGAGAATGGAAGATTTATTATTTCTTATTTTATCAAAATTATGTCTTTGCATTTTTATGAAATAATGGTTGAGATAAAGTTCTCTTTATTTGAACATGGTGGGTTTGCAATTTGAAGGAAATGTTTTAAAAAAGAAGGTTTGAAAGGAAGAAGGTATATAACATATTAAGCTTGTTACAACATAGTAAGCTAGTAATGTAGTGATTATGGGTAGTTGTCCAAAAAACAGGAGGTTTAGGATGAAGAACTCATTTCTTTTAGAAAATCATGCCTACATCTTCTCTCTCTGTAAAGAATGCCCTAAATGGCACTCAGGTTAAATGAGAGGTGCTCCAGCACTTCTGTTCAAAACACATTCCTCAGTGAGGCTTGGGTATTCTTAATCCACTCTGTGTTCAAGTTTACCCAACCTTGTTAATATAATACAATGGAAGCCTGTCAAAGGTTATTGAGTCATTCTTTTGGCTTGCTCTATATGCATCTGGCATTAAGGGGCAGAAGCAAATATGTTTCTTACTTTTTTGGTGTTGAAATGATGGGTTTTTTTGGGTTTTTTCTGTTTGCTTGCCTTGTTGTGGTTTATTTCATTTTTTTAAATCCTAACTCTAACAAATGTTTTCCAAAATTTTCTTTCAGTTTTTTATTTTGTTTGTTTCACAATGGCATTCCTTGCTTTTCAGACTTTTTCTGTTTTCTTTTACTTTCTGCCATTTTAGAATGTCTGCTAGTTCACCCTTGCAGGATGTGAGGAGGTGCACGCAGTCAGCACACACTCAGAAAACCTTTCTTTTACAAAACTAAAGCTTAAGTGTAATTGTACATCAGTATGGGTCACAGGTGTTAAAGACCTAAAACCCATTGGGGTTAATTCATGGGAGAGAAGGCTACAAAATCTGAGAACTTTAGGAAAGGAGGCCAGTTTGTTCTGCCTGCTACCTACCATCTTCCCTCCTGAGATGTTTATGGAGTTAGCTAGTCCTGATTGTACCAAATAGGGAATTTTGTTTCTTGACCCTTGAACTTCAGCAGTGTTAAAAGGTGATTACTTCTGGGCAAGCCAAACAATTATCTACTCTGTCAGCAGCAATTTAACAACAAACTGGCTCTCTGTTTATCTCTTCTGATACTAGAATTTGTTTTCCTCCACAATTATTCAAGCTGCTACTATCACACATTAGTTCTGGCTAAGGGTATGGATAGAATAAATAATTCAGAATCAGTGCCAAGAAAAATTCTGCTTTTGTAGTAGCTAATACAATCGTGTGGAAAATTGAAAATAATTTATTTTCCTTGAAACTTAAGTTTATTTTTAGAAAATCTACTGGTGTGGAGAATGCAGAAAATGTTGATTCAGAGATTAATATAGTTTCTGTATTGTATATCAGAGAGGCAATTTAATTTTCTTTCCCTGGTGGCTAATCAGGTTGTCAATGTGCATAACATGAAAGGAGCACTCAGATGTCCTGAGTGGAGAGAAAGAGGGAAGCAAAGATAAAGGAGTATTTTGGTTGAAGTTCACAAAGGTGTACCACTTGGTGTTCTTTGGCTGGGACTTCAATTTTCAAGATATAAATACAATAAACTTTGAAAGGAAATTAAACATGAGGTTGCAGTTTTCTGATTCAACAGAATTTTTAAGATTCATAGAGTCAGAAAATGGCTTGTTTCGAAGGGATCTTGAAGATCATCTACTTCCAACACCCCTGCCATGGGCAGGAACACCTTCCATTACACCAGGTTGCTTGAAGTCCCATCCAGCCTGGCCTTGAACACTTCAGGGATGGGACATCTTCAGTTTCTCTGAAAACCTGCTCCAGTGCCTCACCATCTCCACAGTAAAGAATTTCTTCCTAATATCTACTCCAAACCCCCTCTTCTTGAGTTTAAAACTGTTCTTCCTTGAACTATCACTACATTCTCTTGTAAAAAGTCCCTCTTCTCTAGTAGCCCCCTTTAGGGTCTGGAAGGTCTCCCCTGAGTTTTCTCTTCTCCAGGCTGAACAACCCCAGCTCCCAAAGCCTGTCATCATAGGAAAGGTGTTCCAGCCCCTTGAGCATCTCCTTGGCCCACCTGATAATCACAGAGCTGAGCAGACTTCTTAGCATTTTGTGGTGTGAGTCTGAGTACTTTTCTCTCCCTTTTCTTAGTGAAAGAGAAAAATAAGGTTCAGAATGATTTTTGTGAGTCCCCAAGGTAAGCATTGCCCTCTGCTGAAATGTACTAGAAGTACCTGCTTGTTTCCACCATAAGCAAATTGTAGGTAATGTGATGAAAAACCATCTCTGTTGCCTTTCAAAGGGGAATTGGACAGGATTCTACATAATCTCTCATGAAAGCTGTTTTATATGAATCTATGATTAGTTCAAACGTAATTTTGTATGAAATTAATCCTATTTCAAGGATTAATAAACTGATTATTTCCATTAACTAGAAAATGCAGGAAAGGGTGTTTAGTTATACAAAAATGGAAAATTAGATGTTGCATGTTATTTTTTTCCTACTATATCTTATTCATGTATTTCATAGTATTAGTATGTTTGACACATTTTTAGTATTCCACACAAATGTTAATCTCTTTGGAATTTTGCCCAGTGATCCAGGAAACTACTTGGAAACATTTTTTTCTTTTTATTAATGAATATTCTCACCGAAGGACATTGCTAAATAATTCTCCATTAAAACAGAGAATCTGTTCAGTAGGAATAATTTTAGATTTTCAGAATTTGAACAGATTTTAGTTGATAGTAATTAATTTTTAAAAAATATTTAATGCTTCATCTCAAATTCAGGGCGACCCCAGTGTCTGGGAATGATTGGCATCTGACTCCATTGATTGAGAATGCTGAACAATTGCTTTATTAAAACTATATTATATTACATTAATACTATAATATATTAAAGAGATACTATACTAAAGAGATACTAAAAGAATACTAAAGGAAAACCTGTGACTGTCTGAGACAGCCAGGACACAGCTTGGACCTAATAGGCCAATTAATACAAATAACCATCACCAGAATCCAATTAAGAACTCACGCTCAGTAAACAATCTCCATAACACATTCCACATGTGCAAAAGCAAAACAACAGTAGCAGCAAGTAGAGATAAGAATTGTTTTCTCTTCTTCTCTCTGTGCTTCTCCAGGAAAAACCCTGAGAGAGAGAAAATTGTGTCTCTCTGTTGAGAGAATGTGAATGCCACAAGTTCAGATGTTTACTGTAGTGCTATTTAATGTGTCATTGGCATGTCTGGCTGGCAGTGATGAACATGTTCTTCATTAGGCTGCTTAATTGAGATACAAGGATTTAACCTGAAAATTGTTTATCTTCATTGAGATACTGAGATTTTATTTTCATTTGTGAATTCGCTATTTTGGAATTGAAGTTCTCTGCATGTTCTTCTGGAATTCAGTTCCATATGGTGGAGCACAGATTATGAATTTTATCCATATAATATCAGAAAAAAAGAGATCAAATAGAAAAACAGAGGAGAATCCATAACTAGAATAGGCACATAATGGTTAACTATTCAACAAATACATCAAAACTAATAAAATAATTAAAAACATAGAGTTAGAGTGATGGATTATTAAAATAATTATGAAATAATTATATATAAATTATAATTATACAAAAATAATTAGGAACTAGCTTTTCAGATAGATGCTTGAGAAGTAGCAAAAATATTTTTTTATTTACAAATGTTACTGTGTAATAATATCTTACTAATATGACTTTATTAATAAGTATATTTTATTGATTTATTGCAATAATTAATCTTCAAACAAATTAAGATATGTATTTACTATGTGAAAATTGCAGTGTTATGCTCTGTTGATTAAACCACATGTTAATATTGGAATATGTAATTCATTAATATTTGAGGCAACAGCTTTATGACATTTAGAGATAGTCAGCAATACAGATCAAATGCAAGGAAATCTTTTAGCTAGATTGCCCAGGTAGTTGCTACACTAACATATATAGATGCCCTTACTGACCTACACATATTTCTGACCCTAGACTGACTT